TTTTAAAAGAATAAATAACCAAATAAAACTTATAGAAATAGATCTTGCCATATCCTGGGCAGAAGAAACATGATGGCTGATTGGCTGGACTTACTTGGGATTTTCAATGACAAGCGCACCTACTGTGAGGAGTGTATCTCAATGCAGAAAATTCTTCAATTGCTCAAAACAGAAGTGTGCTTTTCTTGCCAAGAAACATGTTCTTACAAGAGCAAAGGATTTTCCAAAAGGAAACTAGCGCCCAAATACTAGCTTTGATTTTTGTTAGTTTTGTTTTGTTTTGCCACAAGAGAAGAAGATAGTCTCTTGGGAGCTTACCACTGGGTGAACTGAGGTATTTTAAAGAAAGAACTTATTTTCCTTCTATTTCTTTATAAAGTTTCCATCTATCACTACTGTTGATGACTCTCACTTTGAAAACCCGAATTTCTTATGTATTCCCTTATATATCTGCTTAATAACAATTAAGAATAAGGGCATAAGAAAAAAGGACCTTCTACTTTTACATACATGGACCCAGTAAGTGAAAATTTGAATCTAAAATCTTTTTAAAAATAGAATAGTTTAGAGAGAGGTGATACAGCACAGGAGTGATAAAGAATACAGGCTTTGGATCCAGAGAGACCTGAGCTACAAATATTCGCATCCCTATTTACTAGTTTTTTGATTAAAGAGAACTATTTATAACTTTAAATTATAATCTCAGCAGAGATAATCTCAACAGAGGTAAAATGAGATGAATCTAGTAAAAGTGATTTTAAGGCCTTTGTCTTTATAGCTGGCTGATGGTAACAAGAAGGTCAAAGACAACATCCAGTGAGTGGTCCCAATGTGCCAAGCATGTCCTAAGCAGTTTACATGTATTACTTTAATTAGTACACAAATCCTATGACACAAATATTATTGTAACCTCCATTTTTTCCAATAAGAAAGCCAAGCTAGGTTAACTTGATCAAGGTCACATAGCTACCAAATGAAAGGGCCAGGGTTGAAATCCAGGTATTCTGAAATCCAGGCTCTTAAAAATAAGCCTGCCTGTCCTTCTTCCTCCTTCCCTTTCCCATTCTTCTCTCTTTCTCTTGCTCTCTTATCAGATACTCTGTAAAGAGTACTTGGCTAGATGGCTGAGGTCTCACAGTACATAGGCTTCAGGAATTTGATTGCTGTTGCAGAGTGAGAATAAGTAACAAATAATCAGAACTCTGGTCTTTTAGGAAAGTGGTAAGTATATTTAGAAATCATGTTTTACTGGGGAGCCTGGGTGGTTCAGTCGGTTGAGCCTCCAACTTCGGCTCAGGTCATGATCTTGCAGTTTGTGAATTCGAGCCCCACTTCGGGCTCTGTGCTGACAGCTCGGAGCCTGCAGCCTGTTTCAAATTCTGTGTCTCCTGTCTCTCTGTCCCTTCCCTGCTCACACTCAAAAAGAAATCGAGTTTTACTGCCCTTTGTTTCCCCATCACCTATTATTATGTGCACAGTAGAGACTCGATTAATATTTTGAAATTGACTTAAACTGAAAAGAAAATCCTCATGCTTTATTATAGGCCAGTTTCTTTTGTGCAAGAGTCTATGTGGCATCTGAAGGGAAAACATCCCCATCTCAAGGCAAAGAAAGCAAATTCTGTCGAATCCACTGCAAAATTGCGTTTCTCCTTCCAACCCCATACTTCACAATGGCCAAGGCATTCTAATGAAAACAGGCTAAGCAAGCCCATCTATCAGCTAGGCAGCGGGTGTGCACCAAAGGCAAATGAATCTTAGAACTGAGGCTTCCAGTGATAAGCGGTGATGGAAGAAAATGATTGTCAAACCTGCAATGGTAAGATTGCTCAGCTAATGATTTAGAGCCTGCTCAGTGTGGCATTTCAACTGTTATCCAGCAATCTCCCACTCTGTTCAGGCATGCCATATGTAAATTTTTAATTAGTACAAGAGAGCTGCATTGACTCCTAAGTAAGGTTCAGGGGGAATTAGCTGCTTGTGGGTTTTGCCTCCTCACTCTTCCCTCTTTTACTGCTTAACCCAAGAGGACCAGACAGATCAAAGGAGCAGAAAGGTTGAAAATGTGTCAGTCCTAATTGAGAATTTGTACCTCCCTACCATTTCTCTGACTCTAATAGGCTTCCTTTATGAGAAAATAACACATTAGATTTTAGTCATGGCAGGTTCTCCAAACACTTGAACTGTAATATAATAATCCCTTAACAACTTGATTAGGAGATGTGTCCTGTTGCTATAAAATTGCATGTGTTTGAGCCTGCCTGTGCTGGAGCCAGCTCACATTGGCCTGTGAAGCCTCATTTGTTTCTTTTTTCCAAATGCAGTCAGGTGCTTCAGGGTGGAAGCCTGAACTCAGCCATGATGGGAGTATTTACACCATGAAATTGGCAAACTCTACGTGTGTGTGTGTGTGTGTGTGTGTGTGTGTGTTTCTGGAAAATTTATGCCGGTTTGTTTTCATCACTATTGTTGACATAAGAAAGGTACATAGTCTGTTCATTAAGACAATCTACAAGCATATCTTGTTCAGCACAAACACTTCTAAAGTGTCATGGGGGGAAAGTCCTGGTTCCAAAATTGCTACTTCATAGCCTGTGTACAGAAGTCCTGGATGAATTCACCTTGCCATCTTCTTCACAATACCTTGGGGGTCACACCATGCACTGGTAATTCCAAAAGGGAAGGCAAACATACTCCTGCCTGAATGTTTCCTATCAGGGGTTTATTATTCATAGGTGGCCACTTTTAAAACTGATGTGAGGTGTCTTCCATAAAAGACACCACTACAGTAAAAAACAATGCACTGTTTTTACCAGAAGAGAATAAGAAGTAAGACAGAAGGGAGAAACAGAAACAGAAAACCTACTCAAAGGAAAACCAACGTTGAAGATAACTTAACTCTGAGATTCCTGGAGGGCAAGGGATAAAGGTAAGTAGGAAAGATTCCTTTACATTTGAGATCCGATCTACAGAAAAAGCAAACTTTTCCTTTAACTCTAATAGACATTTTCCAATAATGGCATAACACATGGTGTAATCAGTCAAAGTGTAGGTGGTTAGACAATTATAATATCATATATATGCTTAAGACTTAATATATAAAGTTAATACCCTAACATGCTTTTATTGTTTTGTTCATTTTGTTTGTTTGTTTACTACAACTATGCTGCCTTTAGACTAGCCTTGATTAATCTTCTCAGCTTGAAGTCTTTAGGAGCTATGCTCTAGAACTAATTCAAATGTGCTACGAAAGGGACAAAGACAAGCAGGGTGAAAAGAAGGAAAGGATTCCCTGTGGAGGTTCTTACAGGGATTCTTTCAAGCAGTTAGAAGGTAAACACCTGAAATTTAAGTACTCTTAAATGCAATCCAGTCTCCCACCTTTGCCCTTTCTTGATTTACACTGGTCAGTACACAGAGTAAGTGTGAGTATTTGTTTGCAAACATGAGCATTTGTTTAAAGAAGGAAGGTATTAATCCAACTACAGAATAGATTCACTGATTCCTACAGTTAGATTTAGACCTTAGAGACAATTTTGTACACCCTCCTGCTGAAGGAATCCCTTGCACAATACCACTGCCAGGTCATCTGCCTGCCCTGGACAATCTCTAGGTATAGCAAACTGCTGCTTTATCAAGTAGTCTACACCTATTTGGGGTAGTAACTGCCAGGAGTCTTGGTCTCACAGCGATCCCATACATACATTCCTGCTAGTTTTGCACAGTAGCTCTGCTTCTGCCCTCTGGGTAACATCAATATTTTCTTCTACATGACAGCTCTAGAGGTGTAAGAAGGTAAATACCTTGTCCTCCAATCCTTAATCTTTTCTTCTCGAGACTAAACATACCCATTTCCATGAGTCATTTAATCATTTCTGATAAGGCTCTGGGAAGAATTGAACAATGAATTCCAGAGGCATAAGGTTTGCATATTTTTAAATATATAAACATATTTGCTAGAATTTGACAATCAGCCTAAGATTTTAAGTAATTAGTGGTAACTGGAGCTAGTTTATTTGAGAATACATTTTTAGGATGCCAGGGTGTTTAAAATGTGCCAAATTTTGGAACTATATTAAAATACAATTTAGCCTCTCTTTGATGTTTTAGAAGGTATAAGATTCCAGAAAGCACTAGGGTCACTTTTATGGCTTTATTTTTTATTGTGACACAGCTATGCAGAAGTGCTGATGAAGTAAATGTTCTAACAAAATTGAAAAATAGGATTTTCTTTAGCAATAAACAAAGAGTTATTTTAGTAGGTTTTTTTGTTTATCTGTTTTGTTTTGTTTTTTATCTGAATTCTCTTCTGTTATATCATTGACTCTAGATCCACTTTTTCAACTCTAATAAAAATTTATGAGCTTTTATCCTAAGCACAAAATCCCATGGCATCAGCAAAGAAAAAGGGAGAGTAATTTGCAACCAAAGAGCACAGAAAATCCTCTCATTTAATTGTCCTTTTTTTGTCAAAATACATTTATCAAGAAATTGCTTACAAATTAAGGAAAAAAGGTAGAAAGTGTTGGGAAAGAAAGAAATATAGTTTAAAATTGAGGCAGTGATGAGCCAACTCACATGGTTTTTTAAGTCTAGATGGCAAAGCAATCATTAGGTGTTAACATGTTATACTTACTTCCTTTGTATTATCTGGGACCAGGAACAGAGATGGAGAGGTAGCATTTGGACAAAATCTTGATGTACTTCTGGATTTTCTAAATATGTGGATAACTTATTTTCCCTTTCAATTTTCATCCCTTGCTCTTTCCTTAGCCCAGTCTTAGCAACTAAAAAGAGTGCCAAGACATTCAAACAACTGCAAGAGCAAATGCCCAGTGTCAGGAGCTCTAGGTAAGCCTCCAAACCACACAGGAAGACCTGTTAGCTTCCAAGGGCCAGTGTAGCGTTTAAAGACAACTTCATTTAATCAGGTCAACAAACATCGCCCTTAGCATGGCAGACCAACCACTGCCACCAGCTCTGACAACAATATAACTGACCTTCAGAGGAGAGATGTGAGACTGCAAGACATATCCGTGGACATTTTCTATTTGAGACAGGTTCTTTTCTGACACATGCACCAGCTCAGGTCCTCTTACTTCATGGGTTAGTCGAGGTAAAGAATGATCATGCGGAGCGTCCTCATCTTGATATCGATACTTCTAGGAAGAAAGACAGGGAAGAAAGAAGAAAAGCATTAGTGTTGGCAAAGGGTATGGTTGATAACTTCACATCCTAACTTCATATATGGGACACAGTACATACCTACTATTGACTAAACAGACAACAAATTCACCAAACAGGCTTTGCTACAGACTCTTCTACGGGTCACCATAAGCAACCTCAATACTGAATGCTGAGCAAACCTCAATACTGACCAACCCAGATGACTTGTTTTTACCTGACCACTACTATCTCTATTCATAAGGTACAGAAGGGTGATAACAAATGATAAAGAGACAATTTACCTAAATAGATGAGGAAGTAACCATCCAAATGACCAGATTGCCTAAGTATGTGTGAAAATTTCTAGGTTAAGGATGGAGAAAGAAAAAAGGATTGGGAAATAAAATGGAATTCTGATACATTCCATTCAGGAAACTTATTATCTATCTATCTATCTATCTATCTATCTATTTTGAGACACTGCATGCAAGAGTGCAAGCAGGGGAGGGACAGAGGAAGAGGGAGAGAGAGAGAATTTTAAGCAAGCTCCACATCCAGCATGGAGACTGATGTAGGACTCAGTCTCATGACTGTGAGATCATGAACTGAGCCAAAATCAAGAGTTAGACACTTAATGAACTGAGCCATCCAAGTGCCCCAGGAAACTTAATTTTGTTTTCAGAATTTGTGAAAGGCTTAAGTTCCCTGGGAAATGTGGAAAAATGTGGTTTTTTTTTCCACAAAAGGAAGACACTCTTCTCTTCCTTTCACATTCAAAGAGAAGGAGCACTGCTTTGGGTTAGCCAGACTCTGGGACAAAGGATCACAGTTTCCAAAAATGGAGCTTCATTTTAAAGAACTTCAAAAATCAAGGCAAAGGGTCTTCCAATATTCAGATGATTCCCTGAAGGAAAAGAGATAATAGTTCATTCTCTCTTGACCCCTTTTCTCTTTTATTGTCTTCTTTATACACACCTGTAACAATAAGGGCAACCTCTGGCAAAGGTTATCTTTAAGTCTTTCAACCAGACCTAAGGAAGGTGGTAGGGAGGAAAAGGATCAGGACAAGGAATAATAGGGATAAGTACAGCCCTAGTCATCGTGTTAGTCTCCATCTGTGGCATTGGCCTGTACTTCCTATCTTTGTGTCTCTCTTTACTGCTCACTCCTTTCCCTTTGGAGCTGCCCCTTCAGAGTCCCATTGTTTCAAGGCTGTTTGTCTACCTGGGAAAGAAAAAAAGGGAATATTCTATATCCACTCCCAACCCAGCTAACAAAATGTTAGTTTGCCTTGCTTTGCCTTTGTTCTGTGAATGCACAAGTATAAATATTATCATAATACATCAACTTAGACTTAACCGTACCATATAAACTTTTCCCCAGTACCTCACTATTGTTATCACCAACAGTTATTTTAATCACATCAGATTATTAACAACATGTGTTTTTACAAAATCATGCTATGTTACTGTCATTTTGAAGGTGAAACGGGATTTCTTGGACATCAGCTCTAAGTCTGACTCATAATCTGACAGTAACAAGGAGAACCATCCAGGGTCGGGAATTCGATCTGTTGTCCACTCTTAGTCACAAGATGACTATAATTACTTATATTTTATAGGAAGGCTTTCTGCAATGTTCCCAGCTTAATATTAGTTGAAAAAAAAAAAAAACCAAAACACCAGAAACAAAAAACAAAAAACTTACAGCTAACAGGGGAGGGGCCAAGACGATAGAACAGTATGGAAGTGTGTTTTGCATCTCTCGTCCCTGAAATATAGCCAGATCAACACTAGACCATCCTGCACACCTAGAAAACTTATTTGAGGATTAACACAACAATCTTCACAACCTGAAACAACAGCAGGAACACGGGGTGGAGAGGTGAACGGGGGGAGAGAGAAGCTGTGGAGGGCAGGGAGATGCTTTTGCTTGTGAAGAGAGGAGAGGGATGGGTGGAGAGTATGGGAAAGCATCCCTCCTGCCCAAAAGCAGCTGGAGAGAAAGTACACAAGGGACTTAAGAAAAAAAAGGGAGAAAAGAGAAAGAAGAGGGTTTAAATTTCATTAAGACTCTATAAACAGGAGCACAGAGTTTGAAACTCTACAGCCTAATACCTGGCGGTGCTTGGGTGGAAAAGGTGAATTCCCAGGAGCACAGTGAGGTCTGGGAGGTCCTCAGGCAACACAGGGAGAAGCGGCTCCAATGTTGGAGGGACATTTGGTAGAGGCTGTGTGGCCACCAGGTCCCAGCAGACCCCAGAGAGCAACCATATTCGCTGGTGCTAGAACAAGGTCATTATAAGGGTGAAGCCCAGTGCCCAATGTGTGTTGTGATTTTCCATAATCCCTGAAAGGACATGATCACATGAACTTTTTCTGGGGTGGGTTGACACCCAGCCACAGTCTCTGGGCATCGGCAAGCATGTTCCCGAGAACGTTCCTGGGTGCAGCCAGCACCCAGCCATTGCTTGGTAAGACCCTCCCACAGAGGGTCTGAGTGGACCAAAGCCGCAATCCCTCAGAAGTGAGGGGTCAGGAAACACAGCCTCATCTGAGATAAAACTCAGGAGGCAAGTGACACCTGGCAAGCTGCTGGCTTGGTCACAGACAGTGTAAAAGCAGAGAGTGGACGGAAGCCAGAGACAAAAGTATGCAATTACAGGTTGGAGAGAGCACAGAGTTCCAATACTAGACACTGGGTAGCTGGGTGACACCATTTTCACCCGTCCTGTGCATGTGCATACACACCTACAGTCGCCACAGCAATCCACACCATAAGCTAAGCAGCACCATCTAGTGGAGAATGGAACCGAGCCGTTACACTAAGCCCCGCCCAATGGGGGTCAACCTCGCTTTACAGGAACACCACAAATCTCTCCACCTGCTTAGTTTATGGACTATAAAGCGCTTCATAGTTTAACTTCTAGGGGAAAACAATATAATTTCAATTATATTTCAGTCTGTTCTTTGGTCCATCTTTCAATTTTCTTTTTCTTTTTCATTTCTTTTCTTTTTCTTCAATACAAAAAGGGGAAAGTATTTTCATTTTCAATTTTTATTACAAATATTTTTTTCTACTATAATTTTTGTAACATTGTCAAATTCTATTTCCATCCTTTCATTTTATACTATTCCATTGCATTTATTTTCTAAAATTTTCAAACATTTTCCTTTTTTCCCTTTTTTTCTGTAATCAATCAAACATCTTTCAGAAACCAGACCAAAACACACCTAGGATCTATCATCATTTATTTGATTTTTGTGTATGTGTGTGTGTGTGTTGTTTTTATTTTTTTAATTTTTTTACATTATTAATTCCTTTTATTCCTTCAAAATAATGAAACAAAGGAATTCACCCCAAAAGAAAGAGCAAGAAGAAATGACAGTCAGGGATATAATCAACACAGATACAAACAAGATGTCTGAACGAGAATTTAGAATCACAATAATAAGAATACTAGCTGGGGTTGAAAATAGATTAGAATCCCTTTCTGTGGAGATAGAAGAAGTAAAATCTAGTCAGGGTGAAATAAAAAAAATTGCTATAACTGAGCTGTAATCTCAAATGGATGCCATGGCGGCAAGATAGATGAGATAGAGCAGTGAATGAGTGACACAGAGGACAAACTTATGGAGAATAATGAAGCAGAAAAAAAAGAGGGAGACTAAGACAAAAGAGCACAATTTAAGAATTAGAGAAATCAGTGACTCATTAAAAAGGAACAACATCAGAATAATAGAGGTCCTGGAAGATGAAGAGAAAGAAAAAGGGGTGGAAGGTTATGTGAGCAAATCGTAGTGGAAAACTTTCCTAACCTGGGGAAAGACAGAGATCAAAATCCAGGAAGCACAGAGGACTCCCATTAGATTCAACAAAAACTGACCATCAACAAGGCATATCATAGTCAAATTCACAAAATACTCAGGTAAGGAAAGAATCAGGAAAGTAGCAAGGGGGAAAAAGTCCTTAACCTACAAGGGAAGATAGACCAGGTTTACAGCAGACCTATTCACAGAAACTTGGGAGGCCAGAAAGGAGTGGCAGGATATATTCAATGTGATGAATCAGAAAAATATGCAGCCAAGAATTCTGTATCCAGCAAGGCTGTCATTCAAAATAGAAGGAGAGATTAAAAGTTTCCCAGACAAAAATTAAAGGAGTTTATGAGCACTAAACCAGCCCTGAGAGAAATTTTAAGGGAGATTCTCCAAGAGGAGAAAAGATAAGGGAAAAAAAGACCAAAAGCAGCAAAAACTAGGAAGGACCAGAGAACACCATCAAAAACTCCAACTCTACAAGAAACAGAATGCCAATAAACTCATATCTTTCGGTATTCACTCTAAATGTAAATGGAGTAAATGCTCCAATCAAAAGACATAGGGTAACAGAATGGATCAGAAAACAAGATCCATCTGTATGCTGTTTACAAGAGACCCACTTTAGACCTAAAGACACTTTCAGATTGAAAATAAGGGGATGGAGAACCATCTATCATGCTAATTGTTGACAAAACAAAACCAGAGTAGCCATACTTATATCAGACAATCTAGACTTTAAAATAAAGACTGTAACAAGAGATGAAGAAGCACATTATATCATAATTAAGGGGTCTGTCCACCAAGATGACCTAACAATTGTAAACATTTATGCACCAAATGTGAAAGCACCCAAATATATAAATCAGTTAATCGTAAACATAAAGAAACTCATTGATAATAACATCATAATAGTAGGAGACTTCAACACTCCACTTACAACAATGGACAGATCATCTAAACAGAACACCAACAAGTAAACAATGGTTTTGAATGACACACTGGACCAGATGGACTTAACAGATATATTCAGAACATTTCATCCTAAAGCAGAATATACATTCTTCTCCAATGAACATGGAATGTTTTCCAGGATAGATCACATACTAGGAGACAAATCAGCCCTTAACAAGTACAAAAGATCAAGATAATACCATGCATATTTTCAAAAACAATGC